TATTTATTTATTTATTTATTTATTTATTGTATATTTTTTAGTTGGAGTTCGATTTGCCCAAAACCAGACAAAGATCCCACCAAGGAGAATTATAGGCCAATATCCCTGATGAACACAGATGTAAAAAGTCTCAACAAGATACTAGTTTGCATTTCTAACCAGTTTCCAGGTGATAGCTATGCTGCCTGAGGACCCTCCTTTTTAGAACAATGCTGCCGGGGGAACTAGCACTGTATGATTTGTTATTCATCATTTACTTGAAAGATTAAAAAAAAAGGAATGCCACAGTATCTTTGGAATACATGGCCTGATTAAATAGTACTTTCAGAAGATTCTGGTTATCAAGGGATTAGCTAGCCCTCCTACAGAGCTGGAAGGCCTGGAGGAGGATTAGAAGGTGGTGGGGACCAGAGACAAGCAGAGCAGCCTAGAGGCATTTCAGTATCCAGGAGCCCCATGGGCCTCTCTCTGCTGCTGAATTTATGGGTCAAAAAATGAGACAGGCTCTGGGGAGCCAGATAAGGCCTGCCTTGCCTCACTCTCCAAGTATTTTGGTCTCAGCGTGGTACCAGGTGCCGTGGAGAAATCATGACACGAAAGCCTGGGCCCCTGCCTTCAATGATCTCACTTACCCAGCGATGTTTACCACACACCAAACAATAAGAAGACACTGTAGGTGCTTAAGATCGGACACGGTGTCACCATAGATGCTGTCAGAGGTGACTCTGGGTCACAGTGCTGGAGACGGTGCACCACGCTGACCTGTGCTGCAGGCTTTCTCCCCCGTATTCTAGTTGTATGGCCTTGGAGAAGATGCTCTAGCTGGCTGAGCCTCAGTTATCCCCTCTGTGATGGACAGGACTGCCCCCTCCCAGGGTCCCTGCGACAACATGAAGCACTGTGGAGCCCTGGGAGAGCAGGGACCTGTATATCCCAAGCACTGCGGCATCCCTGGCTGGTCCCCGGGGGTGTGGCAGGTGTGCCTTACTTTTGGTGGAATGAGCACACTCGGGAGTGCAGCGCTCACAGGGTGGGCTCAGCATGGGTGACCATCCTTGCTATTTGGGGTGAGGACTGGCCTGATTAGGGGAGGCCATTGGAAGATGCAGCAAGGGCTCTGGATCAGGAGGGACGGCCGGGAAGAGGAGGGCAGGAGAAAGAAGGTATTTCGGATGTGGCCGAGGGCATAAGGCAAGGTGGGGAAGCGAGCAAGGAGCAGGGTGTAGTCTGGGGAAGTGAGGAGGGGGAAGGCTGAGGAATAAGCCTGCTGGGTAGGGGGCTGGTGAGGGAGGGGAGCCCCAGGGCCTGTGCTTCCAGCAAGGGCTGTTCCTCTCCCCACGACTGCCTTCTCCTAAAAACCAAGAGGCAAAGAGCACAGGTCACAGTTTCATTTTGTTTCCCTTCTAACTGACAACGTGTTTTGTTTTGTTTTTTTAAAGATTTTATTTATTCACGAGAGACACACACACACACAGATTGAGAGAGAGAGAGAGAGAGAGAGAGAGAGAGGGAGAGAGAGAGAGAGAATGAGAGGCAGAGACACAGGCAAAGGGAGAAGTAGGCTCCATGCAGGGAGCCCGACGTGGAACTCGATCCCAGGACTCCAGGATCAGGCCCTGGGCTAAAGGTGGATGCTAAACCACTGAGACACCCAGGGATCCCCAACAACGCATTTTGATAGAAAAGATCAACCCAGGCATAAAGGACCATTTCATAACGTTCTCCCATCGTGTCTCGGAGCCTTAGATCATTCCGTGCTCAGGAGGCTTTCCACAATTTGGCTGCAGCTTAACATTCCAACTTCATCTCCATTTTTTCCCCGTATAGGACTTTGCTGGCTCCCAAAACCAGGGTCCTACCTGAAAAACTCCTATTCAACCTTCAGGACCCAGTCAGTGCCTCCTCCCTACCCCGGCCCAGTAAGAAGAGGTAACTTGTGCTGCAGCCCACATTTCCGGGGCCTCCAGCCTGGAAGGAGAAACACAGTTGAGCAAAGCTCCCTGGTTCCAGCCCCAGCCCCCCGGTGACTCTGGGAGTCTCAGCCGCCCTTCCAAAGCCTCCTTCTCTAGTTTTCCTCTGAGTCTCCAGAAGGTGTCATCTGTGTGCTCCTGTGTGCAGCTGTCTATCCCCTCGTGACATTTGTCAGCTTCCTTATCTGCTGAACGGGGGGCGGGCTGCCAGGTTGTGCAGCTCCTGTCAGCTGCTGCCATCTGAGGCCACAGCGTGGAAGGCTGTGCTCCCTTTCCCGCCGTCCCAGGGCCGTGGCCTGGCTCCAGGCCTGCGCTGCGGCCCGAGTCCTGAATGCAGACAATGAGAGTACAAGGCTATGAACAGGCTGTGGATAGCTCACACTCGCCTTGCCCTTCCGTGCACCAGGACGACCCTGACCGCTTCCGTGGAACCTCCGCCTTCCTCCTCACACTTGCCCAGAAGCAAGCACGGATGGTGCTCCCATTCTACAGGCGAGGACCCCAGCACCGGCGGCGCTCAGGTGTCTAAGTGACCTGATATCTGCGCACGTTTTCAAGGCTGGGAGAGGGCAGCTGTCAGTGGAAACCCAGGTCAGCTCGGCTCCAGAGTCCAGAGCCTTCGTCTGGCTGCCCTGGTGGGCCAGCAGCTCCCTCGAGATGCAGCAGTGCAGTCAGGCCTGCCTGTTCCCTCGGCAGCCGCTCAGCTGGAAATCTTGCCTCGTAGCAGAAGCTCAACAACTACTAAATGATTGAAGGGATACATAATCCGAATCTTCTTCTCATTGGACCCCCTCACCCTCAACAGAGGGGTCCAGGGAGGGTCTCCATATCCTTCGCCTAACCTTCAAAATCACATCACTGATGTCACTTAGATGGGTTTCCTGTAAAGCAGGCTGAGGTGCCAATATCTAGGAAATGGAACTCCCATCTCAAAGGTTCAGTGACGACAAGGCCACCCTGGCTGGTTTTGCCCCCACCTGCTCATGCAGGCCTCAGCCCTCTGCGGAGCCCTGCCCCGTCATTTGGGGAATCCGGGGAGCATATGCCACATGCGCCAGTACTGGTTGCTACGTGGTATTCTCTCTCCCCTCCTTCCCCCCTCGAGGCCCTCCTGACGATGTCCTCTCTATGCATGGCCCCCCTGAGCTGCCTCACTCTGTGCCCGAACCCACTGCAGGAATACAGCCCACCACATTCAGGGCCTTCTCCTCTGAGATGGGGGCTGGTCCTCACAGTGCCAGGGCCATGCTGTCATGCTGTATCTGCTTAGATGTGAGGGGACCGTTACCCTACTCTGTGTCACACATTCCATCATCTGGGTCAGATGATGATGTGAGTGCCCCGTGACTTACCATATCCTTTGGAAATCCTCTCCACCAGCTTCACATAGCAGCCCCTCTATCCACAGTGCCCCAACGCATGTTTGGGACTGGCAATTATGTGTGTGTGTGTGTGTGTGTGTGTGTGCACTTGAATTGCACATGTGACTCCACGCTGTCCTCTGTCCCCTCCTTGCTCCCCACACTACACACTAGGCCGCTCCTTGCTTTTCTTTCCTCACGATGTTAATCAATCCCGGAATATAGACGTTTGCTGGTCTTGGCTCCTCACCCTCCTCCCCGCTCATCAGGCAAATCCAGCCACATATGGATTCGTTTTAAGGATTATCTGGGACCCCCTCCTCCTGACCATCCCCTAGCTACAGACTTAAGAAGACCAGCTCCTCAGTCCAGACATCAGGTGAGCCAGCCTACTGGGGGAGATGGAGGGCGGATTGAGCTTTATCAACAGGTCTGGCATTTCCAGATTTAAGGCCTGGATTTACTATGAAGCTGATGAGGGCTTAGGTTTCAGGACCTCCTTCCCTGATTTGCATGGAAGAGGCCCCAGGGCTCTTATGTCTTTATAAAATTGGCAAAAGTAAGTTATTTTAAGGCAGTCAGTTAAGTGCTGGTTTTTCTGTCCCCGTCTTACCTCCAGTACCTTCCTTCCTGTTAAGTGACATTGGAGTGGCCATGGGCATCCTGGGGGATCCAAATAAAGGGCAATTAGGTTGTTGCCATTTCCATGCATAGTTAGGTTATTGCAAACCCTCCTGATGTAGGAATGGCGGGAATATTCCTATTACCTAAGGGGTAGACTTGTCCCACGTCATGGCACAAAGATGCAGGCCCAGAGTCATCTCTCACTGTGACTGTGTCCTATGGCACCTGGCACTGGCAGTATGAGACAGCAGAGGAGAAGCCAGATATTGATGTGTGGAACCAGAAGCCATGTTGTGGAAAGTTCTTTTCAACATTACATGTCCAAAATTTTAAGTGGAAGATTAGGCATCTCACCAGTGCCTAATGAAAACTATTACTGCAAAATACCATAAAAACCCGAAAAAGCAAATTTTGATCAATCATGCTGGAAGAAAGACTAAATTGCCTTTCCTGCCCACATAAAGAAAATAATACATAATAATCAGCTACAGAAATGATGCCTCAAAAAAAAAATGCAAACAAAAACATAGGAAAAGAAACCCAGTAGTAAGGAGGTGTGTCAGAAAGTTAATTGATAAAGATACTACAGGCATCATCTTGGCTTTTATAATATTTTGGTATTTTACGGCTTTTTAAGATTTTTGTAATATCTTGCATTTTCTTTGCTTCATTGTAAATAAAAATTCACATTTTAAACACATAATTCCAACAGAATTCATTCTTTGTAGCGTACTTCGTATTTTTTTCTTAACTTTAAGTGTAATTAGCTTCAGGCTAGTTCTAATTGTATTAGCCTGAAAGGAATGGTATTGGCTTCAGGCCCACATAATCTGCATCTGTCCTGGACATGGAGTTAGTCTTTGGACCCCTGCCCCCTTCTTGTCTGAACGTCTGCAATGCTGGGGTAAGGTGGGGAGAGACCCCTTTGTCCCTGTCAGTTTCAGTCATGGCAGCCATAAGAAGGTGTCTTTCTAGGTGTCTGGGTGTCTTTGTAGGCTTTTTCTCCTCAGATCTTCTTATTCTCCCCCTGTTTTCTTAGCTATGATGCCTCAGGACTTGCTGCCCAACCCAGCCTCAGTCAAGACTCCAAAACCAGTTTCTTCGTGCCTTCTGCTCTGCAGGCTCCCCTCCTGAGTCCAGCCAGACTTCGGTGGGCCCTGTCTGCAAGGTGATGTTGGCCTTTCCCTTCTTTTGTTCTTTGTTCTCTTCACAGAGAGTCTAAAGACGTGCTCAGGGTAGACAAAGCTCTATTACTAAACAAAAATCCCATGCAACATCCTCATTGCCCGCAGTTCTGGAAAGAGAGGCCCAGAAACATTACCCCTTGCCTGAGTCTCCAAGACCAGGGTTTGTGAGGGGTAAAGGAAAGGTGTCTCTACTACTTTTTGAATTGGTAATATTTGTATTTGAGGTCTCAACCCAAACATAGAGAGGCATGAAGACACCCCCGTGTCCTCCTCCATCAATGTGACAACTTTTCTGGTTATCGGTTAACTTCCACTCCCACTAGGTGGAAAGACCATTTTATTTGTAGGTAGAAGATGTGATAATGACTCTGCTACTAATTCACTGAGTGTCCCAAAACAGTTCATTTCCCTCCTGGCCTTCATTTTCTCATTCACAGGATGAACCGATTAGGTTATATGATTGCCACAGTTCCCCAAGGTAAAAATTATCATGAGTTATGAATCATTATGACTGCAAATTTCTTTTTTTAAGATTTTTTAAAATGTATTTATTCATGAGAGACACACAGAGAGAGGCAGAGACATAGGCAGAGGGAGAAGCAGGCTCCCTGCGAGGAGCCTGATGTGGGAATCGATCCCAGGACCCTGGGATCATGACCTGAGCCAAAGGCAGATGCTCAACCACTGAACCACCCAGGCACCCTGTGCTTGCAAATTTCTAATTGAATGGAGCTTAACTACTAATCTTTGCAGAACTGGAACTTATATTACCTCAGCTCAGCATTGAGAAGAAATCACAAGAAAACAGATCTGCATTAAGGAAAACAGATGGGAAAACAGCAACGAAAACCAAATTTCAGTACAATATTTTATACCAACTACAGCTGTAGTGTTCTATGGTCATCAAAGCCAATAATCTAAAAGGTCAGTGATGTTTATTAGATTTTAGTAACTAAGGTAGGCAACCAGCAGAAGTATTTTAGAAAGATTAGCACCTTCAAGGTGGACTTTTTGCTATTGTTATTTGTGTGGTTGTTATTTGTGTGGTTATTGTTATTTGTGTGGTTGTTATTTGTATTGTTATTTGTGTGGTTGTTTTGCTATTTATTTGTGTGGTTGTTATTTGTGTGGTTGCTATTGGTATTTGTGTGAAAAAAAAAAAAAAGCTTGTTCTCAGGATTCTCTGTCCTCTCAACAGTTATGGTTAGATAACATCTTGTCACCTCTAAGTATGCACAGACCCTCTATCCTCTGTCATTGTTAGCGAAAGCCCTACCTACCCTTCGCTTTCTCAGTTAAGAAAAAAATAAATGGCTGAAGGAAGAGAGGAAATCCAGAATATTGGAAGATAGCAGGGACTTCTCTAACATGACTGAGGACAAAGGCAGTGGAGAGAGACCAACATGGCTTCAAACACTGGTTCCAGGAACTTCCAGAAAGAATAAAAACACAGGGGACAGCTTGGAATGGTAGAAAGACAGAAGGATGCAGGAGTCATCCAGGTCCAATCAGGAAAGAGGGACATTTTGGTGGGGTTGAAAGGTTCTTCAAGGCCATCTTTCTGCATTTGTTGAGTCAATGCTCTGTGACTAGCCTCCTTCAGATTCCCAGGTCTCTGGGGAAGAGCATTCCAGACAGGCATGGGAGGCAAAGGAGCATGCCAGCTTCAGAAGAGGGTCAGCCTCATTGTTACGGAATAGCTTAGCCTCTGGTTTATACATCAGCCCCTTATGTGTTTGGTTGTCAAACACCTGCCTAAAAGAAATTATCTTTCATTTCTGGGTATATATGGGCCAAATCTAACTGCTGGATATGCCAGGCTGAGGATCGGTATGTGGACTGCAGAAACTTCATCAAGCTACTGCTTTCCTGGTTACTGGCCCAGCCCTGATGATACATACTCCCTCTCAACAAACTTCGTAACTGTAACAGAGCTCAAAACACATTTTGCAAATAGATGAGGGCCATCACTGCACTTTGGAATATACTACTTAGCCAATATAAATAGTTTTCTTTCTTTTCTCTCTCTCTTTCTATTTTCTTTCTTTCTCTTTCTTTCTTTCTTTCTTTCTTTCTCTCTCTCTCTCTCTTTTTTTTTTTTTTTTACCAAATTTGGTAGTCTGGTTTATCACTCCCTTTTGCCCTCTGGCAGTTGCAACATATGCCAGTGGTTTGTTGTGAAGCACTGGATCTTTGGGGTTGATGATTTGTCGCTTGGGTCTATGTGGCAAAAGAGGTGGATTCCAAGAAACACATGTTTAAGAAATTCAGGAAGGAGCAAGGAAGTGGATATGATCATTGGCTAATTGGTTTGTTAGGCCAAAAATGCCTTTTGGTGCTCACCACAGCACCGGCGCCAACTCTTAAGCAGCAGTGACCTCCCTTGAGGTCGCTGTGTGAATGACTATGATAAATGGCTGGTTTTGGAAGGTTCGGGATTTTTCTCTCTTTGCTTGTTCTTTTTTTTTTTTTTTTTTTCCTCCTTTGGTTGTTTGGGATCTTATTGAAAATCACAAACCAGAAAGAAAACAGCTGCCAAGATCAGTGGTGAACATTTCAAGAGTCAAGTTACTGTGGCCTGTGGCTCTCAGTTCCACTTGAAGAAAATTCAGATTGCTCTGGTGATCTCCCAGGACATTTTCCCTAAAATACTCACTTACCCTTGGTTTACCAATGAGCAGGAGGTGGAAATGGGCAGAAGGGTCAGTCAAAATAATGTGGCAGGATAAATATATATCCCCTCTCTGCACCATCACCACCCCCTCCTCCCCACCCCACCAGCCCAATAATTGTGTCTATATGGGACTAACACTGAGTCAGAGGCTTTGGAACAAAAGCAAATCCTAGAGGCTAAGGACATGGTTTGGGGGGAAATTGAACAATTTTGTAGGCAGGCTCCCAGTGTACCTTCAACAAGTGATTCTGCGGCTGCTTGAGGTTAAGGCACTAGGTCAGCCTATGAGCGTTTGTGGAAGAGCAGAAGGACCTGTAGGGAGGAGAGCTGCTTTCACAAAGTAAAGACCAGGCTAGTAGAAAAGCCTGAGCCGAGAGTAAAGAGTCATGCTTTCTTTCTAAGTCTTGCTTTCCTTCTTGCTAAACTGAGAGATCTCAGCAAATGAGTTTGCCTGTGTGGATCCTACTTGCCCCACAATCGATGATGCCCTCCATCCTTTGATGACAAGCTTTCCTTCTATGTTTACTCAAACTCACCTCAAATATTCGTGTCCCCCCTAGATGTTTTCACTGTTACCCTGGGGTGAATCACATAAAGCCAATTTCACGCTGTGATCAAACACATCACATCTTCCAGCACAGTATATTCTATAGTAATAATGTTATTAGTTTCTATCAAGTTGTGGCACAAGTATACCCCAAGGGGAAAAAACTGGAATTGTGGAATGTTTTAAAAAATAATTTCTCTTATCAACAGTGCCACAAATAGTGACTAAAAATATATTGTGCAAAGAGAGGCTGTTGGGACAGCTTTGGAGATTAATTTAGGATCATTTATATTTAGCATCTTATTTTCAATGCAAAAATATTTTTAACGCACTTAAAACAATGTCTTCTTAAGAAAGCTAAAATTCCTTAATTGTCATTTACACCACTAAATTGCTTAGATTTGCCTGTGCCCTCAGGGTGCATAGATTCTACATTGGAGAGGTCTGAATTAATAAGATGTTATTATATTTACTTTTGGAATGCGTTGGACCATTTGTTAACTGTTGAATCACCCTAAGCTAGAGAAATGAATCTGATGTGGTCCACAGAATATATGAAGCAGAAATTCCTTTATCTAAAAACTCTAGGATATATAGAGTTAAATTTAATCCAAAATGAGATTTCCTGAGGTCTTGAATGCTAATATGTACCGCATTAGCCTCGAGATGGGTAGGGTCCTTCATAACAAAATAGAAAACTTGCCAAATCTGGTATCTTAAAACAGTAATGTAGACTCCAGCCTTCTGATTACATTCTTTGGATATTAAAATTCAGTTTGACCTAGATTCAAAGTGACTAGATACTTTTCTTTTTCTTTTTTCTTTTTTTTTTCTTTATAAATTTCAGGGAACTTCCATATGAAGGCAGAGGAACTGTATCTAAATCTCTCTTTTAAAGACACTCATAAAAATGCACTCAGCGCTAAAAGTTTCCACCCAAGGAAATGAACAAAACAAGTTGGATTCAAAGGCAACAACAGCAAAAAAGAAGAAAAGAGAATTCCACAATTAGACTTCAACATGGAAATATGTTCTAAATAATTTAAGTAATTGTGGTCAAATAAAGAACAGAACAGGCAAAGAGCTTTCGTTTTTGCAGGAGCAACATTTTGGTTTCTTTCCCTGTGCCCATCAGCATTGTAAAATGTTTGTGCTGGGAGAGATGTCATGAGTCACCCCCTCTTCCAGGCCCCCTTAGCAGAGGAGGAGCCCAGAGAGGCAATAGAGTTGGCCACTGTTGGGGAGCCAAGTAGTGGTAGACTAGATTAACTGGAGACTTGAACTCAGCCCTCTCCCACATCCCACACCACTAGCAGTGCATCCTAATAGGCACATAATAGGCCTTTGTGGGAGTGAATGGATTTTATACTTCAAGTTCTTACCGGGAACCAAGTCAATCAAAAGTCATCCATCCTTTTTTTTTTTTTTTTAAGATTTTATTTATTCATTCATGAGAGACTCAGAGAGAGAGAGAGAGACAGAGACAGAGACATAGGCAGAGGATAAGCAGGGTCCCTGTGGGGAGCCTGATGCCGGACTCAATCCCAGGACCCTGGGATCACGCCCTGGGCCCAAGGTAGACGCTCAACCACCGAGCCACCAAGGCATCTCAAAAGTCATCCATTCTTTCTCAAGGCTGTTTTTTTCTCCAGACATTTCTTCTCAATCTGATTTCCTGGATTCAAGAAAAGATTAGGAAGAAGGCAGTTGAATTGGGCAGAGGTTTTTCTCCACACTGAAGTTTGGGCTGGGTGAAAAGATGCAAGATAAAGAGAAAAGGATTACTCAGAAAGAGTTATTATTATATGTGATATTATTATATCAGATATTATTATATCTGATATTATTATATCAGAATGTGTTCTGAAACTCATTCTTCCATGTTTTAATAGGATTGGTAGCTAAGTCTGTGTTCTCTGTTTCTGAGGGAGTTAAAAGTCGTCCTCTGTAGAACAGAATGGGTGTTTACTCATTGTTGAATGAATAAGCAAATATGGGAGGGAAAGAGTGCTATGTGTTTTCTGTACAGTATCTTGTTGAAGTCCCTCTAGCTCTCTGGAAGCAATCATCATTCCCACTTCCTGAGGCTCAGAGGACATAATGGCCAGCCCATGGTATTAAACAACTTTTTTGTATACTTCATGCTTTCCCCACTTGCTTCCTAATGAAAGAATCCCACTCTTCCCATCAACTCCTTGGTTTCTTTATGAATTTTTTTATTTAGGGAGAAAAAGGAAAAAGATAGGCCTCTAATGCGTGGCTGAAACCACAGATGAATAGCAAAAATCAAAATGGCTTTGGGTTGGCAGCTGCCAAACGCCATTGAACAAAAGAAGTTGCATGCCCATTTGGAAGGGGAGGAGGGTGAAAATGGGTGACAGCCCTAATGCTTTGTGATTTGTAACTGCCTTACTTAATCCTGTTTCCAATTTAACAGTACACTCGAGGTCAACAGAGTCCTACATTCAAAGAGGCTTTGTGGTGTCTATATAATGATACTCATATTGAATTCTTGAGTTCCTCTTTCTGAAGAACCTAGCATAACTTCATTGGCATGGTCTTCCAATGAGAGGAGAATAGCAACTCTGTTTATCCCCGTATGTCTTGTGTCTGCCTCGGGGAATGACATCACCTCTCACTGAGTATATTTCAACTAACGGAGAAGGTCAGGAACAATGACTGGCATTGCCCTTTCCTGGATCCCACTCCATCTCAGAAATGAGCTTTTTATAAGGTCAATGATTCACTTACCAGGTAAAGTAAACAAAGAAACATTTGTCAAGTTAAAAAGGATTGAGTTGAAATTCAGAGTGGTGTTGAGCAAAGAGTCAGGTTGGACCTAGCAGACCCTTGTGGGACACAGGTGTCCTTAGATGAGAATGGTTCCAATGAACTTCAGTGGGGAAGGGCTTGCAGTAGGGCAAGTTGCTCCATGAAGCTGAAACTATTCAGCCCTAGACAGCAGAAAGGCTGACATATGGAGATGGAAAGCTATCTGATTGTAGCACAACTTCACTTTGTAAAACTTTGGAAATCATAGACTCTGATGAAAAGCTGAGCCCCTCCAGGTGAATCCTATCTTTCTAAACACAAGGAAACTGGGACTCAGGGAAGCTTGGAGGCTTGGCCAAGGTCCCAGAATAATTAGCATCTAAGCCAAGTCTTAAGGAAACCCAAGTTTCCTTGATATCATGAGTAAGGGTTAAGGTTTCTACCTCTGTCATTACAAGCAAAAATTATCCATGAGAGTAGGAAACTTGTCTGTCTTATTCACCAAAGTACTGGGCACATAGAAGATGCTCAAGAAATATTTGAAGAATAAAAGAAAGCTATGGAGATATGAATATTGATCAGGTCCAAAGATAAAACCAAACCAAAACTCCAGATTATACCCAGCTTGAACCCTGAGCTGGTTCCCAGGATGCAGGCTGGAAATTCTACCCTGTGCCTGGACTATGCATACACCAAAGACAATCTAGAATCAATATTGTTGTGTTGACCAGGATAAAGGTCAACCACTTTTCTCTAGTTTACAGTATTATAAAGATTAAATAAGTCCGTAGCAAGAACTAGTGAAGAGTTTGAGTTCAATAGTTGTTAGTGGTGGTGATGACAATCATGGTGATGATGACAATGAACTTTGTGCTATATCAGATACAGTTCCTCAGCTTGAAGTTCCTTCTAAGCTTTAAAAGCCTGTCTGACTCAACCTTGGCCATTTTTTTTTCTTTCTTTCATAAGTAGAACTAGCACAGATATATTCTTTAAAAAAAAATACAGCAAGAAGAAAAAAAAAAAAGCATGTTGGGTTGGGCTTCCACTCCGGGCTTCCTTTTAATTTGTGGTGAGGTAGGTGAACAAGAAGTGAGAAGGAAGAGAATATGCAGAAGGATTTCCAAATGTGATGAAGTTAGAGCAAGAGGCATGTAAGATTCTTCCCACATTCTTCCATTTCACATGACAGGACAGATTAACCTTCCTGAAATTGTGTAAACCTTTTGTAGCGGCTCTCACCATAATCTATCCAGAAGAACACAAAACATACAAATGCATTAGCTGGGTGTTCACAGTCTTACTTTGTCAGCTCCCCATGATCTGCATGGAACATGTGCGATAGCCTGGACCCGCTGGCCATTGCCTGAACGCATCTTGCAACTCCCACCTTCACATTTACCTTCACTCCTCAAATCCTTCTAATTCTTTGATTTCCAGCTTGTCTCTAAAGCCAGTGGGAAGATCTTCCCTTCTACTGAACTTGGGGTGGTGTTTTATTTTGTGTTGTTTTGCTTTCCATATGCTTGACAAGACCTTCATGTACCGCTGCCTTGTTTTGCGATCTTTAAGGTTTTTGCTCACACCAAATTATACTCTGAGGTTAGGGACCAGTTCTTATTCACTTTTATTCTCTCTAGTGTTTTCCAGGGTAAGTGTTCATATTTTCCTATGGAAGGAATGATGGAATGAATGGTGGATTGGACAAGAAGCCCCAGCTTCTCACAGATTGAAGAGATTGCCGGCATAGGGTGCTAACATCGAAGGATCCAACTGCAGTCTCCTCCACCCTCCACACTTGATTTTGGCAGAAGAAGATGGCCATTTTGCTAGGGGAGCACTAAAAGTGTGGAAGGATTTGCGTCCCCGGGTGTAGCCCCAGTGAGAGAAGGAAACTATTTGATGTCCAGTGTCTGCTCAGCCTGGTGTTCCTAGAAGGTCTGCCCCAGCACCCGAGGGCTCTCGAAGTTCTTTCCTTGGCTGGAGTCTTGAGCTCACTGGCTTTAAGGATTACAAAGCCCAGGGCTCTCCCAGCAAGGTGCTCTTTCTATTCACTGCCAAATGATCGACCAGCCGTAGCAACAGCTCTGGATGTGCATCTCTATGTGTGTGTGTGAGAGAGAACATATGGGTCTCACATGAGAAGGATTTGCAAAAGCTGTGATATTTTAACCGGAACCTGGCTATGTGATGAGGACTAGGGAATGGCATGCACATGGAGGCAGGATTGTACAGATTTAGGTTCAGGGAGTAGCCTAGTTTGGCTAGAGCTTCACACTGGAGAAGAGAGGAAATTTTAAATGCGAGAGTGTAGTCACATTAGAGATAACTCAGAAGCCAGGTCTGAGGCTCTGAATCCCAAGGAAGAGACGACGGAGCATGATGGCAGGTAGGTCTAGACTAAGGATGGCAAAGAGGTTTCGACTCCTGTCCCAGATCTTTAACCTCCCTATGTGATGGTTTAGTTACCAAGTGGGGTATGGCATTTTCCTTATAAAATCATTGTGAAGGTTAAATTACACAATGTACGTAAAATTACTTTTTGTGAAATGAATGGTAAACAAACCTGGCCAATGATTGGTTCTAGTTTCCCAAAGGGTAAGAGGATAGGTTTTACTAACTGCAGAGCAATCAACACAATGGGGGTCTTGGATGATATTCTAGGTCAAGCTATTAGGAACTTGGTTTATGAGCATAAGATAAAGAATCTCCCTCAGAAGCCAGCAGTGGTTCCCTGGGAACTCTTTCTGGAAGCACAACTTCATTTGCTTTGTTAAGAGGGTTGCCTGAGACACCGGAAAAAGCAACAGAAGCAGCATGTCTGAATTCCAGTGAGACAGGTTGCAAGATTCTTCCTCATAACAGGCTGAGGAACAAGACAGAAGAGTATAAGCAGGACAATGCATTTGGCTGGCTTTAGAACGTGCTTCAAAAGTGGTGGAATCAATCAAAGTGATGTCAATCTGCGGATGGTTTCTAAGTGGCACCATCTAGTTCAACATAAGAAAAGAACTTGGAAGAATAGGTAGAAAGTTTGCTTATTGAATATGCAGCGGTGAAGAGCCTGGAAATGAAATAAATGGTAAGTAATAGGACCAAGGTTTTAAAAACTCTATTATTAGGAATTTCTACAGTATTTAGGTCTTGACAATAAACGCGGTTTATTTCATGATGATTTTTCAGAACACTATTATCCATGCATCCAAATCACTAACACACTCTCCTCTCTCTCTTGGCTTCCTAAATTTCTATGAATATTCTGTTCCCCTGGCACTGAACCAGCACCATAGGAATGGAACAAAGACGGAGCCCTCCTTCTCAAAGACCAAGCTGTAAAATTAGCAAAGGAATAAAAAACAGCTGGCGAAATATGATAGCTGTTATTCCGAGCCCATGAACCTGAAAAGATAGTTTATTTTAGAAGACAAACAAAATCTGCCTTCTGTTTGATCTGGGGCAGCATCCGCCTTCAGAGGCAGTCCGCTCACATTTAGTTATTCGGGGGTTTGGGACAAGCAGTACAGGCGCTGTAAACAAAGAACAGAAAGGATCGGTTTCCGTCTTAATTTGACAGTAAACAGTACTAATTTGACTCTGCAGCTGTTTATCGATACCCAGGGAAAAAAAAAGTTGCAATTCAATAGAGAGAACAGTAGCCAGTGTGTTGAGGCAGAGTTGTTCATAAGATGGCAGGAGCCAGGCGGTCTTGAATGTCCTGATGTTAGAAGAACACAATGTAAATTGCCACACGATGTGGTTTTCATCTGGCAGCACAGCCAGCAATGGGAGCCTATAGTTTTTAGACTTCATAGAGGGCTCTCTGTAGTGGCTTCTTTTTGACTTTCCAATGGATTCTCTGTCAATCATGCAATATTTTACAGAAAAGAGGCCTAGCCCGAGGCAAAATTCTTTATTCGCTCACTTTCTCATTTTATGTTTATTAAGTGCTTACTATGTGCCCATGCCAAGCTGAACACTGGAGATAAAAAGATGTATATCGTTCATGCTTGTGTGACCTTTACGTTCTGGCTATAGAGAAATTTACAAACAAATAATTATGAAACGATAAGTTGGGCAGCCCGGGTGGCTCAGCGGTTTGGCGCTGTCTTCAGCTCAGGGCGTGATCCTGGAGACCTGGGATTGAGCCCCACGTCGGGCTCCCTGCTTTCCCTGCTTCTCTCTCTGCCTCTCTGTGTGTGTCTCTCATTAATAAATAAATAAAATCTTAAAAAAAAAAGAAACGATAAGCTAAGCACAATCATAAAAGCATACCTTGGCTAATCAATGATTCTGATTGGGTGAGTTTCCCTTATGTAACATCCATGAATTGGTCATATAGAACTTGGCTATAGTATTACAGATTGGACTTGAAAGCTATCGCCTACATAGTTGATTCATTCATTCATTCACTCATTCATTATATTTTCGGTGACTCTGACTAGGATTAATATGCCAGACACCTCAGTGAGTACTTTTCATGCATTATCTTAGTCCTCATAGCTACAATGTACTACATTGAATCTCTGGCCTGTGGCTATGCAACCAGGAACAGGATTCCAGTTTGGTGAACTCCAAGTTTCATGCTCTTTATAATAATGCTTCCTTTTAAGGTGCTTAGAGTCTGTGAATCCCAGCGGCTCACCATGGACATTGATGACCATTGCCATATATTTTTGAAAAGGCATAGGTATTTCAATGAATACAACATTTGCTCTAGTAACTTACTACACTTTGTATCTCAAGCCTGTTAATATAATATTAAACTGCCACCTTAAGATGATGCTCAGTGTCTTTGGCTTATAATAAACAGGATATTATGCTTTAGTTCTTCAAAACACATTTGTTGAGCACTTACTATGTTCCAGGAATGAATAAGGGCTTTGTCATTACTGAGAGCTACACGTCCCATCAAGACATCACCTCTGACGTTATCCTGATTCTTCACCAGGAACTGTTGCCCGCCTGCACAGTACAAAATTTAAAACAAACATAACTCCACAGAATTTTAAACAATTTTGAAGACATTTGCCATTTGTCATCAAATGAGAGAGAATAGTAAGAATGAACAGCTATTAAAAGAAAAAAAATCCTGTCACATGTTCAGTTTAGTAAGAATATGCAATTTTACTACTTATATTTTAATTTATCTTCCTTTCAGATGCAATTAAATCTCCATCATTAGGTCATATCTGGCCTGGCCAAATAAAGCATTCTATTTAGAAAATGGAACATTGGTGCAGCCAGCATCTCTCCATTTCACTTAAAATAAAATAGAAGCATGGACTTGTGACTTGCAAATTATTTCCCACAGTTGGTTTGCCTGTATTCTGATGCACAGTGGATGTAGGCTTTGGAAATCTGGATGACAAGGGAAAGTACACATGGATTTGGAGAAGGGGCACGATTTGCTCCTTTATTGTATGCTATTTATTTAGGACACATCATTTGTTGAACAGGAGAATCAGTGGGGAGACACAGCCCTGAACATCATTCAAGGGGAATAAAGTGTGAAGCTGAGGTAGACTCGGTTACACTGAGAGTCTATTCCTTGTCTAGGCCTTGTCATCCAAGGGCTATAGCCCATTGAGGCTTTTCTGGAAATTTTGTTATTATTCTCCCAGTTACACAGAGAATTTGGAGCTTTCGATACAAGTGATGGTTCTGGAGAAACATAAAACTGTACTGTACAGTGCTTTGTCATCTGGGGGATATTAGGTGCCCTCAGTGGCAAGCAGCACAGTACCCTGCTCCTACTGCCTCAAGCAAATAATACGTTTGTTATTTCACATGGCAATGTCAGAGATGGAGCATCTTAGAATTGCTTAATTAAAAGGCTCGGTGAGGTTATCAAATACCCAGGTGTTTCCATCCCACTTCACTGCTATCTTCAGAGAGCTGGCCTTAGACTCAAGTATGGCCCCTTATGGTAGCAAGATGCCTGCAGCAGTAGGACCAGTATCATATCCAGTCGTGGCCACATTGAGGGGGAAAAGATACCATTTCTTCCTTATGGCTCTTTTTAAAATCAAGAATCCTTTCCCCCTTCCAAACTCCAGAGGATCTCGCCTCACTTCTCAATGGTCAAAATCATGTTACATGCCCTTCTATCAGTCACCACCAGGAGAAATGGAGCCCCCTCATGAGCTTCGGCCCATCAGAGCATGTGCCGTAAATGTGTGGCTGGGTGGAAGAGGCAGAAACCTGAACAAAGTTGGGATTTTGTTACCGAGGAGCTGGGTGAGTTGCTGCTTAGGTAGGCAGCCAACAGTGTCTGCTACGAGTGGTCAGGCCTGGCCTGTCTAATCTTCAAACGGCTTTGTGTGGAAAGCAAGTCAGGCATTACAACCTCAACAAGACAGAAGAGAAAACCAAGCATTTTAGTTTTTGCTCAAGGCCACCTGGAATTAAATGTCAGTGTGGAGATGCTGAGCAGTCTTCAGTCCTGAGTCCACCGTGTTTGCCATTCCTTCTGTCCTTGGTCTCGGCATAACCGGAGACTTGCCACCCCTCTACTGCCTCCTATCATCATCTCTCCTGGTGTCTGACTTCAGCCGAGATCTGTCTTCTCACAATGTTGGAAGTATAGCCAATACTCACACAATGCTTAGCATGCCAGGCACTGTGCTACACCATTAGTCCCACAAAACCCCAAATCACTTACGTAGTCTGAGAAGTTGGGGTTCAATCCCAAGCAATTGATTCTAGAATCATGTTCTGAACCATCACACTCCTCCTATCTATTGCCAGGACTACAGTGGGCTGGCATGAAGTTAATTCAACATTACACAAACCAATGAGAGCTTCTGGGTGGAAATTGATTTAGAAGAGCAGATTATATAACTTTGTGGCCTTTTGGCTAAGATCAAGTGTGGAAGAGTAGATTATGTGCTCTTGGAGACCACTCGCATGTGGAATGGCAGGAGAGTCCCAGTATCTAATCCAGATACTCCCATTTATAGGCTATTAGATCACGGAAAAAAAAAAAATCCCTGGCAGCCCAGGTGACTCAGCGGTTTAGCGCTGCCTTCGGCTCAGGGAGTGATCCTGGAGTCCCGGGACTGAGTCCCATGTCAGGCTCCCTGCATGGAGCGAGAGCTTCTCCCTTTGCTTATGTCTCTGCCTCTCTCTCTCTCTCTCTCTCTCTCTGTGTGTGTGTGTGTGTCTCTCATGAATAAATAAATAAAATCTTTTAGAAAAATCCCAACCGAGCCTCAGTTTTCTTACCTATACAACGGAGATTAAAGTAACTCCTACTTCACAGTTTAATTGTTGCCAAGATCAAGGAACAATCTATGCAGAAATGCTCTGTAAGTTACAGAACATCCTAATAGTTATTAGTAATCATTATTGTCATCACTTGTTCTCAGAGATTAGGGTGTCCCATGCACATGACTCACTTTGCCTTCTGAGAATCATCAGAGAGTCAAAAAACAAGAAGCTATGAAGTGATCCTGACCGTCTTGCAGATGGCTGGGGACTCTCATCAGCTTCCTCCTTCCTGGGACCCTGCTATCCCCTGTAGGAGTGTCACTTTGCTCTGCACCCCCTCCCCTCAGGCCCACTTCCTCACCCCTCCTACTGGTCTGCAGACACCTCACCTCTTGCCCTCAAAGCTGTTTAACGCTCTTCCCATCCTATGATTTTTTTCTCTAGGTGGCAGAGAAGGTAAGGTTGTACATGACACAAACAAAATCAGTGAATGCACACAAATCATAATACAGACAAACTTCAGTACAGGGCACAGCTCTGTATAGGCTGAGTATCTGCTCACTGGAACTGATTTTACATGTGCTGCAGGAGACACGGCCCAGAGAGGAGACAGCCAGCCTCCCAGGGACCTGAGGGATGTTACAGTTGGAAGAGACCATGGTGACCACCTAAACCCGTCCCGTTCCAGGTGTGACGAGTGTGACCAAGGAAGAGAATCCATACTCAAACATGTTTCCCAAGCAGAGTTAAACACAGTTAAACAGGTTTCTTTATCCATGGTTGAATTTTTGGTCTTTGATAGGCTAATATACATCATAGTTTATCTAAGAAAGGGTTTCCCAGAATGATCTGCCTATAAGATATCTTCTTACAGAGCATCTAATTAAACCACTTTTCTATTGGACACTGATTGATCCTATATTATTTTATATTTGGGGGAACTGAAGCTCACAGAAGTTAAGCGAGTTGCTCAAAGTCTGAAGCTAGCCAGAGGAAAGGAGGTGTTCCTAGTCCACCATGTTTTATATAAGGTAGTTCTCAATCTTGAGGCACACCAGCATTCCCAGGAGGGCTTGTTGGGTCCCACTCCTTGAGTTTCTGCATCAGTAGGTAGGCCTAGGGAGGTGCCCAAGAATTTGCATTACTCATGTGCTTCCAGGTGATGCTAC